ACCCCTAGGATACATGTCAGATCTGTCTCTCAAAACCTGTGCGTAAGCCACCTAAATATGTACATGCCTCATCTAAATCACCCTGATCCTCAAGACCCCAGCTCAGTAGGAACACTAGAGTTCAGATCTAGACTAGTAGCAATCATCAAAAAGGTCCTCTAAGTCTAAGAGGGTATCACACAAACCCTAAGCTGATGCCTCACAAGATACTCGCCCACTTACATAAACAAACCGGCACTATCTCCTCAACTCCTCCTGGTTTTGCCTATATAACTGAGCCCTAAGTCCATCTGCAGACTTCTCTACTATCCTACCCTGTCTATCATACATCTTACCTCCTACCTCTGAGACCTTCCCTGGTGCCTTATCCTCAAGAAACTCGAGACAGTCCAGAGCATGATGCACGCCCCTCTTGCAGTAGAAACATAGCTGATCTACCTTCCTCTTGAACTTCTTATTCCTGGGCTGAGGAGGTGACGATGAAGGAGATCCTACCAAGGTACTGACAACCTCCTGCTGCTCTGATCGAGGGGCTGCGGTACTAACGACCTCCTGCTGCTCTGTCCCAGGAACTGGTCCCCCACACCCAGATCCAGTAGCCCAAGATCCCAGTCTGCTCTTCAAATCCCCTTTCGTTGGGACGTACTCAGGCGTGTCCAACCTCTGAGGTCTCCTCTCGAGTGTCTCTCCTAGCACTGTCGTGGGCTGCTCCTCAATCTCCTTTGGTCCATACTCAGGTGTGCCCATCCTCTGGAGCCTGCTCTCGATAGCACCCTCCGCCTTAATCCCCATCTCTCCCTCAAGCGGCTCCTCTATCCTCTGCTCGGGTGAAAACAAATTCGCCTCTTCCTGCATGGTATGCACTGCCTCAAGGAGTACGCCCATGGATCCCTCTGCTGACCCCTGAGCCGGCTCACTGCTAGATGGCGGTAGCCCCTCCTCAATCGCCAAAGGTACGACTGGGCCTGCCGCTGCCACTGGCAGCGTCGCGAGCTCAGTAGGGGCTCTAAACTCGAACGCCTCTCTCTCTGCCTGTCTCTGGGCTCTCGCCTCCTTTGGCTCCAGGATAACTCTCCCCATAGGTGGCTCTTGGCGAGGCCCTGCCGCAGATGGTTGTCCTGGCAAAACTTGTCCTGGCTGTCTCTGCTCTCCCTGTCTGCTGCTCTCTGACTTATCCACTTTTTCTTGGGTTTGCTGCCTCAGGCTCTCAATGATAGCTGCCTGACTGGCCACCAATACCCTGAGTTCCTAGATTTCCATCTCCATAGCCTCCAGGCGTACTCCATGTCTTGCTTCCTTTAATTTTTTCCTGCCAGATCGCTCTCCAATAATAAGTGTCGGTCAAAGGTCGTTTTGGCCAGAAACTTGATTTTGCGATCTATCCTCTCTTCCGCCTTCCTGGCCACCCCAAGCCCGACTCTGACTGGCGAAGGAAGCTCCTCTCCTCTCTGCTCCCAGAAGTTTCTCCACATCTCGGGGATCTCCGGGGCCCTAGCTGGCGCGTTGGGTGGCTGACCTGGGAGTGCTCCTGCTGCCTCCGATCTCTGCCTCTCCTGTTGCTGCTCCGGAAGCTCCCCCGCTGCCTCCAACCTCTGTCTCTCCTGCCATATCTCATCTATCTGTCTGGTTCTTCTCGCCCTCTTTTCTTCAGCCGTCTCTCCAGCTGGCGCCCTTTCCCTCGTGCGGAGGTCGACCCTCTTCGGGATCTCTGCTTCCATCTCCTTCTCGGGTTGGTACAGCTCCTGGCGCGGCTCTGCAGGTGCTGGCTCCTCCAGGTCTGGATGCTCCAGGGCATAAGCTGCTAGGTTCCTATCAATCAGGGTCAAGGCTTCCCTCCTTACAGCTGCCCTTTCTCTCCTCCTGTCGGCTCTCCCCTCTGGTGATGGAGCCCTCTCTGATGAAGGAAGTGGGGCCTCCTCTCTCCGCAATCTCCCCTCTGCCTGACGAGTGCTCCCTGGTGCATCCCCGAGTCTCAAACCCACCGCTGGCGTCTGTGGGGGCGTGTCCTCTCCAACCTCTATCACTTCCTTCCCTGCACGTCTCCCCACGTCGCCCAGCCTGCTCTCTCGCTGAGTACCCTGCGCCTCCTCTCGTGGCACCTCCTCTCGTGGCACCTCCTCTCGTGGCACCTTCTCTCATGGCACCTCCTCTTGTGGTACCTCCTCTCGTGGCACCCCTTCTACTTGCTCTTCATGCTTCTCATCCTGAGGCGACGCTCTCCACTGAGAGATATCCAGATGCGTCTCCAACTCCCTCAACGGCCCTTCAGATACTGGCGGCTCCTCTCGTGTGTGTGCTGGTGACCTCCTCAATCCACCCTCAGTAAAACGATGGAACTCTACTAGTCCCAACCCATACTCAGGGTATGCCCCTCGCTCCTCTATCTCTGGCTCCCGCTCCGGCTCCTCCTCTCTCCTTGCTAGGGCCTTCCGTCCTCCCCGAGACGGTCTCACCTCCCTGGGCTCAGGGTCCCTCGACCTCTGACTCCTCTGACGTCTCTCGACTCTGGGCTGGGGKGGCTCTGGCCGTCGAAAGGCCTCTCTTAGATGTGCCCTGCAGCTCTCCCAGTCCCGGGCCATGTCTCTGATTTGGCTAGCCAGCGGCCTTTCCGCCTTCCTGGTCTAGAGCGGTAGCGTCTGCGTCCAGTCATCTCTCGGTATGCCCTGCCCCTGCATGAACCACTCAATCGCGGGGATGAAGTCCGACGCATTTCCAATCTCTAGGCGGATCGGTCTGCCATCAGGCCCCACAGGCGAGGGTCACAACTCCTGCATCCTCCACTCCACCTCTGATCTCGTCGTCGCCTCTCTACGGATCCGCGCGATGGGCTCCTCGAATTTGCCTGCTCCCCTCAATCCCTCAATCGCCTGAGCCACGGTCCAGCCCATACGCCTCGCATGATCCCAAAAGCTGTCCAGGAATAGCTCGATGTCCCCATCATTGTAGACTGGAGTACTCTCTTGATGGCGAGACCCATGTCGCTCATATCCTCATGATGCTCCCAACGGCCTCCGAGGCGGCCGTGTCCCCCTCCCTCCTTTTGGCATGGCTGTCTTCGTAAAGTCCGACCTGCACAACAGGCGAAGGAGACAACAGGCACACATTGGGGTAAGCAAAACAGGTGATAATCAAGCAAACTTAAACCAGACCACACTCACACAGCATACATCCTACCTAGCCTACACACCCTGCTACTTCTATTCTGAAGGCAGTCAGGTCGTCTCTCTTACCTCTTCTCTCGCCACGAATTTCTTCAGTCGCGTTCCAGATACCCAATCCTTCCACTCAGTCTCATTTAGCTCCTCAATCTGATACGCTCCGAAGTCTCTGACCCGTACGATCCAGTAGGGACCTAACCACCTCTTATCGAGCTTCCTGGACCATTGCTTCTCCAGTGATGAATCGTAGAGAAGCACGACATCTCCAACTGCCAAGGGTACTTTCCTCACCCGCGCAGATTGATCCCATCGAGCCTTATCGTCCATACGACTTCTCGCCACCTGGTCAGACGCCTCCTGGATCCTTTCTTCTATCGCTCCTATCTAATTCTTCAAATGTCAGGTTAACTTCCAGAACCTGGCGCCTCCATGTCTTAAGAAAGCTCTCGATCGGGAAGGTGGCGTGCCTTCCATACCACAGTGTCGCCGGTGCGTACTTGGTGGATCTTTTTATTGTAGTGTTCTCGACAAAGAACGCCGCCCTTAGGTATCTTGGCCATTGATTAGGCCTACCTTCGGTCCACTTAGCTAGGAGACTCGTAATGGTACTATGTCCTCTCTCTACGGGAGCATTTGCCTGGGGGTGCGCGGCCGTGGTGTAGTTGGCTGCTATACCATACCTTGATAACAATTCTTGCACCTCCTAGCAGGTAAACTCCGATCCCCTGTCCATTACGAATTCCCTGACGAAAGGGTAACGCAGGTAATATTCCTCGATGCAGCTCACTAAGACTAACCCGGTCTTGGTGCGAATAGCACGCCCGTCTACGAACCCAGACAGGTTATCGTGCGCATCGAAGATATAGTTATAACCCTGATCCCCAAGTGGCATAAAAAGCAGATCAAGATGCACTACGGCCCCCACCTCTCGCTATAACCTTGGATGCAGCGGCTCTCCTTGCCTTAAACGGGATCTCTCCTGGCAGGGCACGCAGGACCGACAGAATTTCCCGACCATGTCCATCATTTCATCCCAGTAGTACAGCTCACTTATCTTGGCATACGTGGCTTGTACCCCTCGATGCCCTCCTGCTATGCCATCGTGAAGCGCTGCTACGACGTCGATCTGACGATTCCTACCGCAGACGACCCTTCTGGGATTCCCCACTTCTCTTCTCACGAAAAGGTGGCCGTCTCACACTAAGTAGCGCTGCAGCATCCTCTGAGCCCTATCGCTTGCATCCCTTAGCCGCATTTCACATGACAGAAGAAACCCCAGTTCTAGGTAGATCCCGTCGTACTCCTCTGCACGAAAAGCCTCCTTAATCTCCCCCTCCTCGAACTCGTCGTCCTGGCTCCCGGACACTTCGTCCACATTTCCTGTCGGGTTCAACGAGCCTGACTGGTCAAGGCCTTCCTGCAATAACGTGTTGACGAGGAGATACATTCCTCCCATCAGGTCCTCATGCCATTCTACCTGGCCAGGTCCTTCCTCAATCGTTCTCATGTCCTCCACTAGGCTATGCGAGCTGGTCAGCGCTAGCTCCATCATCCACTGAACATCCTTACCGCCCCAGGGATCTTCTTCCTCAAAGGGCTTAAGGACTAGCTCATTCCTCCTTTCATAYCCCTTCGGYGCTTGCCAGATAGGATAGYCTACACAGCTGSGCACTCGYGGCGACCACTTGTTGATATGAAGACGAACATCTTCTTCCTGATCCAGAAATCCATCAACTGGGGGCGTATTCTCCACCGCCTCCCCTTCCTGTTTATCCCAGTTGATCCGACTCAGCCCGTCCGCCCGGTTCTTACTACCAGGAATGCGTTCCAATTCGAAATTGAACATCCAGATATACGTCAGCCATGTGGCAACCGTCGGATCCGATGGAACGTAATTCCTTAGAGAGTAGGCCAGGGCGGTCGGATCCACTCTCAAAATAAACCTCATGCCGAAGATATAGTTCCGGAAGATTCGCAGACAGTGGAGGACAGCAAGGGTCTCCCTCTTGAACTGAGAGTAGTTCCTCTCCGTCGTACAGAGAATCCGGCTTTCAAATCGCAAGGGTCTTTCCTTTCCTTCCATGTCTGCCTGAATTAGAACTCCCCCTAAGGCAGTCGGTCCCGCATCCGTTTCGACAATGAAGGGTCGCGTCTCTGTGGCGTCATAATCTGGCGCTCCTAACACCAACCCTCCTTCTCGAAATTCCTCCTTCATTTTTGTCACCACCTCTTCTTGTTCCTCACCCCATACCCATTCCTGATCCTGACGGACTAACTTCCTCAGGTGTTCAGTCTTAGCGGCAAAGTTCTTGACGAAGACCCTCCAAAATCCACACGTACCAAGGAAGCTCCTGACATCAGTTATTGAGTGAAACGGAACTGGCCACTCAGTAATCTTGTCCGTCTTCTTCACATCCGGTCTTCAGCCCTTCTCATTGCAGACGATCCCCAAGATAGTCACTTCCCTCATGCAGTGTCTGGATTTGGCCCCGCTTGCCATGAGGTTATGCTGTTCGAGCAGGCTCAGGACCTTTTCGAGGTCATGGATGTGTTTCCAAACAAAGCGCCTTACCCCTGGTGAGACTTCGTCGCTCTCTTTCATCGCCGGCCCCTTCACTGCCAAATCGTCAATATATGGTTGTGTGATATGGGGGCTGACTGACTGCATGGCCTGAATCATGGCCCGTTGGACCATTGTTACTGCATTGGTCCACCCTTGTGGGGCCACGTTCATGTGGATTAATCCTCGCGGCGTGTGCATAGCCGTCACCGGCCTATCCGGCGGGTAGACTGGGAACTGATCGTATCCTGAGTAAAGGTCTATAAGCGAAATTATAGGTCTTCCAGCACAGGATTCCGACAACACGTCTGCATTCGACAGTCCTCCAGCATCTCGCACGGTCACTGCATTCAGTCTTTGCAAATCCTGCACCCACCACAGCGTCCCGTTAGGCTTAATAAAGCAGAACCACGGGGACGCATACGGTCCACTTGAATAGTCGGCGATGTGAGTACGTATCTTGTCGTCGAGGTAATCCACCACCTTCCTTTCCTCGTCAGGATTGGGATATTGCGCCCCTCTCATGTTCCAAGGCTCATGTGGCATGGTGTGGATGCGGATCATAGGTATCTTGTCCACATCCAGCCTGCCACGCTCCTCATCACTAAACACATAGGCGCAATGCTTCCTCTTCATTAATTCCACCATCAACGTTCGCTCCTGAGGCAGTATGAAATCAGACTCCCCTATGATCAAATCTTTCTCGTTCCCTTCGTTAATACGACATGGCCCTGCTAAAGCACTTTCCCTCATTCGTCGTATCAACCCTCGTTCCCTCTCGTAATATGCTTCCTCGTCCTCTGTAACGAGGACGCGTACCGGGCGGCACTTCTTGTCTACCGTCTTGTACCGCCTTTGGGAACCCTGCTTGAGCCGTCCCCTAAAAAAGACCGACTCACGGATTGTGTTTGCGCTGATGCGGGGTTCCCTCCGCTGCCTGGGAGCCGATATACCAATTCCAACCTTCCTGCCTCAGGGCATTCCAGAACTTGCTCCCTCAAGGCCTGGATGGCATCCGGATTTGCCATCTCATGCGCGGCCACCAGGTCCATGGCCTTCCCAACATCTGACAGGCTGAGGGAAAATGCTTTCACCCTCTCTCCTGCTTCGGGCTCTGCCCAGAGCCTCCTGCGCTCCCCTTCCGACTCCTCGATTGTGAATGATCCTGGATTGGACCAGTTCCTTATACTCCTTGGCCCGGTGTTCCTGCAAGTAATTATTTCATAATTCCCGCAGGCAGGATCGCATAAGAGGAGGATCAACGTCCCATCATGTTTGTTGAACATCACGGTCTCTGTCCTGCTTAGGAATGGCCTTCCCAGGAGGATTCCATGGTCCACATCCGGCATTATGAAGAAGCATGCCCTGGCCTTCACCTTTCCAACCTCGACGAGCACATTCGAGGCTGTCCCACAAAACACGGCCTTACAGCTGGCTCCATGCAGAATACCGCAGTCAGAACGGTCTATATCCAGCCCGAATTTGATCGCGTCCGCCTCCCGAATAATGTTCATCTTTGCCCCGGTGTCCACCATTGCTGCGCACTTGGAACCCTTCACCATCAAATCCACCGGACCGCATGTTGCACACTTCCAGTCCATTTTCGTACCTGACTCTGCCCACTCTGCCTCCTTGGGCAGGATCGTACCCAGATGGACATTGGGCACCAGGCGCCGTGATAACCTCCCCTTCAGTTCATCGCGGAGTCGCGGGGCTGATGCTAGGATTTCCTTCAGGGTCATGAGGTAATTATGCCCTTCCAGCAGCCGGTCAATCACCTTCTCTACATCAAATCCCTCTTCCAACCGGACCGCATATTTCTTCTTTTTGGGCGGTCCGTCATGTATGACCGGTTCAGCCTCTCCCCTGGTTCCCTTTTTCCTTGTCCGCTGCTCCGCTCTCTGATCCTCTTCTTTGCGCAGCCTCTCGTCCTCTTCCTTTTCATCATCGTCGTTCCCTACTTCCACAACCTCTTTCCTTCTCCCTGGTTCGGGTTCCCTCCTTGGAGGCTCTTGGCTTTCACTGGCCTTGGCTTGATTCCTCGTTCGCGCTACCTGTGCCAGCCGGGCCTGCGGAGTGAGCGGTCTCCCCCTCATTCCCGATTGTGGGCACGACCCCACCACATTTACTCCGGGTCGCCCAGGCACTGACTCCGGGCCGGAGTCATAGAGGAATATTGTGGGGATGTTAGACCTCAGTCCCTTCACTTCCTCACAGAGGCCCACCAACTTTTGTTGGTACCTCCCCATCTTATCCAGCAAGTCCTCCATCTTCTCAAATAAGACGGACAGAGGTTTCGTTCTTTCCTCCTCATCCTCGTCATTTGACTCGATGATTATGGCCTCTTCCGTCTCACTTCCTCCTCGTAGCCCTTGAGTCACTTCCTCATCGCTTCCTACTTCTTCCACCCCAATCGGTGGTTCCTCCTTTTTCTGCCATAGCCTGAACATGGCAGGGGGTGGCGGCCCAGCTGCCGCTCTTCGTTGGGCTTCAACCCTCACTCCTCCAAGCCTTCTGTCAATGGCCTCCCCAAACTCATCGTAGATATTCCCATCCATAGTGGAGGAAATCAGTCCGTTTCTCTCGTCTTCCCGTCTTATATTACAGAACCTTATAGTGTGGCCTTGCTGGTCACAATGTTGACAGATGGCCGTCCTCCAGTCAAAACGGGGTCTTCCATACCCCTAACTTCCCTGATCCCCCTGGCCTTGATACCCCTGGCTATGATACCCCTGGCCTTGGTACCCCTGGCCTTGACTCCCTTGGCCTTGGTACCCCTGGCCTTGGTCATTCCATTGCCTTCCTCTTCCGCCTCCATTCCTGCCTCGCCCCCTTCCTCCACCCCTCCCTACGTTGCGTTGATTGCCCTGCCCCTGGTTCCCACCTCCTACAACACTGCCCTCTGAACTGGGATCAGGTGACGGTGGCGGGGCCACAGGTTGGCAGTGGGCTGCGGGGTAGATGGGTGGTGGCATACTCGTTTGCGGTCCGGCTACTGGCGGCGGGCTTCCCCATGGCACAATTGCATTGATCACCGGCCAGGGCCACTGTCCGTAGGAGGGCGCCCCACCTTACGAGGGGCCCGTACTAGATGATAGAGCCGCCACAAATAAAGGGGCTGCCTCCTGGGCCTGAGGTGCCTGCGCTTTTCCTGATCCCTGTCCGCCCTGCGCCAAATTACGCACTTTGCGCTGGACCTTCGTCAGGTGTTGCGGCACCGACTCTTCCTCTTCCCAGAGCTCCTCCTGAACAGCCTCCTCTATCACTGACTCTTTTCCTTTTACTTTGACAGTCGTCACCACCCTCCTTTGCACCACCGACTTAGTCACATACCCTAGCTGTGCCAATACGTCTGTAACAATCCTTGTTACCCCCGGGGTCCCAGAAGCGGTCGCATCTCTTTCCTTTCTCTTCTGCCTTTGCAGGCATACCTGACGTTGTTCCACCTGGTCCAAGCACCCAACTTCCACCCCTCTATCAATGGTGGCCCAGGTGAGCTTAGTGCTACCTCCTCCATGTCTCGTCAACTCGACGGTCTCCGACGCTGTGAGTAGCCCCAGGAAGATGGCGCACTGTGCTTCCTCCGAAATCCCATGGACCTTCCGCGCCCTCTTCTTAAATTCTTGAACAAAGGCCCCTATAGTCGTAAAAACTTCTTTGTTCATCGCTTCAAGGTCCACGGTAGTCAACAACCCATCTCTCAGGCGGTATTTCCTCTACATCCCCTCCTTGAACCTCTCCCAGCTACCTTGAGCCGCATCTATGACTTTTTTCACCTCCTGATGGTAGCTGTGGAGGACATATTGAAGGATGCGTTGAAACTTTACAACATCCGACCGCCCGACCAAAGCTTGTTCCACCCGTTCTATCCATTCTGAGACTCTCTCCCCACAGAAATGGAAAGTATCGACCTTTGGGATATTGTTCGGGTTCCTTTCATGTCGGTCGATGGCCGCGATGAGGTCATCGAGTGTCAGGCCCTTCTTGGTTGCAACTGATACACCGCCAGTCTCAGGCATCTTGACAGCCTCTTCTTTTTAAGTTCCCTGGCAAAAGAAAAGAAGCACATCCCCTTATTTAACATTATACCTTGACCGGTTTATTCCATCCGTCCTACCTAACCCTTAGTACTTACTTTACCCAAATGTTAACACGATCGTCCCTCATACTTCCTCTACTTGGGTAGGTAAATTTCCTCACCTACACTTAGTCATTCATATATTCCTTCATTACCTTCTCATCACTCCTTTATGTCTTTTCTTATTCACTTCTCATACCCGGATGTCGTTCTACCAGGGACAACGGTAGGCTTTCCGTTATCCCCGGCAACGGCGCCACCTGTCGAGCGCATCGGTCCGGCACCGCACGGGGGCAGCGCGGGACCTTCCCGGCCGCGTCACGCAGGAGTTGGTTTTAAAACCCTTTGTCGCAATATACATGGAGCTTCCACAAGCCGCTCCGGCCGAGTGCGTCAGTCATACCTCTCGCGAGCCCCTACGACAGGATAGGGCCTACGCGAGGCACGACTTACCTACACCTTACGGGAGTTGTC